GGGGGGAAACATTTTAAATGCGCGTCTGATGCAGTGTAGAGTACTAGTTGCCTTCTGGACAGTTGCCTTTCTACAGTGTTCTGATGGCGATAGATTTGTGGTCGTCCGCACACCGAGATCTCTGTGTCTTTCCACAGTTTCTAACGCCGTCCCGTACTGGTGTTTGGGAGAGGCATTTCGGTCGGTGTTCAGGTGCAAGACCACGCATTTGGACACGTTAAATTTCAAAAGCCATTTGTTCGATTTGGGAAACCAAGAGTTGGAGCTGACCGTGACAGGCATCACACTCAGTCCTCCAACCCGATCTCGGTGTCACACACACACACACACACACACACACACACACACACACACACACACGACCAGTGGAAATCCTGCAGGGACTAGGACAGGGATAGAGGATAATCCACAACTAACAGGAGGCCAAACCCCATCAACTGCGGCGGGAGGGAATTTCACATAAGACGAAGAAATATATATACATGGGGTAAGAGCGGATGCGTTGAGAGATCAAGTCAGTCAGGTCATATGGCGGTGATTGTTGTGGCGCATTTCCCTGTCCTGTTGACAATCATGGCGTCGAAGATTCGTCTTCGGTGTCATTTCAAATAAATTTTGTCAGTCCACATCAAGATCAAGTCGCGGCGATCACATGATTCCTCCTAGAGGTCCAAGTTCACAGAGTAGCTCATTGTATCACAATAGCGGCGGCCGAAATGAAGGCATGGCATCAGTAAGCGTGTTGATGGCAGCGAATTATGTGGTCATTTTTCTTATCAACCTCATCTCTTCACTGATCAGGCTGAGCACATCCGTACAGATCATATACGCCAGCCACACACTACCAAATTTGACAACACATTCAAATATTAAAGAAAAATTGGTGCATTGTTTCGGTGCATTTATCGCGCTTTTTGCTGTAGTACTTATCGACCTTAAGGGGGTACAGATCATTAAATCGAGACGTCAGACGAGAGGTCGGTTGACAGGAGGTTGATGTCAGCACCCATAACTCCGATGCTGCCCGGATGGCTGACTGGTCGCCCTCTCACCAACCGACGCAGAATAAGCTCCGATGACCCTGTTGATGCATCAAATTCACGCCAACTCGGGCATCTTGCTACAGGACCTCCGGATCACTGCAGTCGCAGGCGGGGGAAGTGCCGAAACCGAGGCCCGGTGGATCAAAGCCTATCACAGTAAACCTAAAGGAGGGAGGGTGGACAGACATACCTTGTCAGCCAGTGGACTGGGGGAGGGACGGGCAGCTCTCTGGCATTTCTGCCGGGCATAGTTTGCGCACATGTGCTCAGGGCCTGCGGGGATGGTGCTCTATCGCTCACACGGTACCGACATGCAGCGTTATCTCCGCGACATTTGCCCCTGAAACAAACCACGCAATGGATGTGCTGCATAAACACCGGGAACTAGATCGCAGTCTGGCAGGCCTCATTCACGATGCTCACCCATATCATATGCCAACATTTGGGGTGTGGCGGCACGTAAAAACACAAAATAGCAAACCCCATGGAAGACAAGCATTTATGTTAAGACGCCGTAATCAGTGATGACAGAGACAAGGGGCGGGGGGAGCGGGAAATAGGAGGATATTGTTGGCTCTTAGGCGCCTGGAGCAGATAGCGGATCCCGGTGTAAAGGACCTAATCGTAGGCGCTAAACATGTGATCTATGTGGTGATCCCTGAGGCCAATTGGGAAGGAGGGAGGAGATGCGTGGTTGCTGAAACTGCTGACGAGATGCCGCAGTAGTCGGCCACAGACGAGCAGTCCTCGGCTTCCACCAATTCTATTGGGCTTAAACATGCACTTTCTGCAATGATTCCGATAGGAGATTGAAAAATGTCAGCACAAATATCTATACACTATCTGGTACAGTATAAATGCGGATATATGTGAAATGTTTTTCGGAATGACAGGAGACCTCGACCTGTAGCATTGTTTAAATTTGGATGTAATATCAATGTACACATGCCCGACCTTAAGAGGACTCCGTGTTTTGTCATACTCCTGTGGCATCCGCTTCAATGCCCACTTCCTCCCCCTCCCCTCCTTTGCTGCGCCTCGTTGTCAGCCAATGACCGCGACAACAGGCACTCCACTGACGCACGGCCTTCCCTCTGGTCTGTGCTGGGCCGCCTTCAACGGATCACGTGTGCGCACGCAGTCTCTCACCGCCTCACTCGCTTCCAACCTCCCCGCTTTTTACCCCTGCGCGCCCTTCTGAGCATGCACCCCCGACTCCGTCCAATCACATGTCCTGCACTCACCTACACATTCCCTCATGATGTGCTGACGCCCACGCAATAAACCTCACATCACGACTTCCGCTCACCCGCGCGGACGCTGTCCTCTGACCACAAGCAAACAGCCAACTCGCGGCAATACGCCCTGTGTACAGAATAAGCCAGTTCTCACTACCTCTTCACTTCTGACATTAGACAAAACGAACTTATTGTGTGCGCTGGCTTATGCCCTCCAACGTAAGTAAGTACAACTTTGTTCAACACGGCAACTGCAGAGACCCCAAGCCCAGGATTTACTTTCTTAACGGTCCACTATTGCAGCAGGTTGATATTCAGAAGTATTTGGGTGTGTGGATTACATCCTCATTCTAGCCAATACTGAACTGCGCGAAGGCGGAGCATCAGTGGGAGGGTCGCATCAGAATGTTTAAACTTCTGAGAGCATGGTGGGTTGGGGGAATAGCCTCAGTTAGACTGAATTGTCTACGCAGAGTAAATGGTGGCCGCGATACGGAAAAAAGTAGAGTTCTGAAGCTTGCTGTCAACATTCTAGAAGGGACACAGTGACTCTATGGAGAGAAAAGCAGCATCTGTGTATCCCATCGTTAGGGGTACAATCAGAGATAGGATATAGAACACAGAGAAGGTCAGAAGCTAAATGTTAGAAGGGTGGACGTCGGAGGTCACCACTGGTGCGATTGGAGGCTGACTCGAAAGTTCACAATGGTATGGTCGACAGGACAAATGTTCCCTAATCAGAAGTCAGGGAAGATTCGAATCCACGAGGGCGGGGACGATTTAGGTCACGGTGACATGCGGGTCAAATGCAGTCACACAGGCGGCATTGCCAGACCACGCATCAAACAAAGTGCCCTATATAAGGAGAGCTGTGCAAATCGCTTCCCAGTCTCTGAAGGTGGGGTAGACGAAGTAACGTCAGACCTATAATAAACCCCCTCCCTGTCCATGCTGATCTGCATGACACCTTCCGAGGTGGCGTTGAGAGCGCAGTCGTCGGCGAAGAGAAATACGCGATTGAAAGTACATCAGCCTAGGACTGAGTAGGTGGCCGTCCGTCCTGTAGGCGATACGGATCCCAGTGCGTTCGTCACGGTAGGCGTCCATCAGCATGGCAGAGAACATGAGACTGAAGAGAGTAGGTGCGAGAACGCAGCCCTGATTAACACTGTTGGTCACAGTGAATGCCTCTGATACATCTCCATTGTCCGTGACTGGCGCCATCATGCCATCTTGGAGGTGATACACCACCTGAGAGAATCGCTCGGGACAGACGAGTTTCTGCTTAATTTTCCACCGTCTGTCACGGTCCACCATGTCGAAATCTTTGGTCAGATCCACGAGGGTAAAGTAGAAGTGGGTCGACATCTCCTGACACTTTTCCTGCAGTTGAGGGGCGGCGAAGATCATGTCGGTGGTTCTACGATGACGGCGGAAGCCAAACTCTGCCTTCTTTCGAAGGTGGGTCGTTTCTTCGAACCAGTGTAACCTTCGTGGATGCAGACTGGGTGGTTCGTGCTTACAAGGACTGGAATATGCAGTTCGTGGCTATTCATCATCAGATAGGTCAGGAACGGTATCTGACATACTCACACGGCCATCGCATCGTGTCTCGAAGACGGTGATGATGATCAACTAGGATCACACGTGAACAAGAAGGACCCTGAGACTATTAATCATCGGCGAGCTGGAGGTATCGCCTCCAATCAAGTTCCGAAATTTCACAAGTTGGCGCAATTAATGGTGCACTTAATCACCTGTAATGTGGTAGTTATGTGTCGAAGGTAGCTCGAATGTTAGTCAGTCGATACGGTAGGAGACCTAATTAATGAAGGGTAATGACCTTACATACGACAGCAGAGTGTCGCAGAGGCGGTGACGTGTGCGTGATTTAGTTTATAGTAGTGGTAGACTTACAATGCATCTACCCCACTCCCTCAACTCATCCACAACCGCCTGGGCCCCTGGTAAGTTGTGGCTATGCAGCCCCACCGGATGCACACAATACTCTTCGCTTTGAGGTTACGGGTTAGGGCAGCTAAATCTCATCATTTCAAAGTATTTCAA